ATCCAAACAAGGGGGGAAGGCCACAATGGAGAGTTGACCTTTACTGACTCAATGCCTTATGTCAACACACAATATTTTATAAGGCATTCGTATATAATTATACAATTAAAGCTTCATAATAATCCTCAGTTTCCTGGGGAATATTAACTCCATGTCACAGCAAGAGAATCTGAAATGAAGTGGATTACCTAAGGCTTCGAGCTGGTAAACAGAGTGCAAGACTCAACCGCAAGTCTCCTCAATTCAAGTCTAGATTCTTCTATTATTATTCCAAGAGGGAAACATTGTAGTAGTGGTTCACGTTGATTGCTGCTAGGTTTTAGGACCACCACAACACTTCCTTGCCAAAAAAATCCGTTCTTTACCAAACGTACCTTACTGTTTGCCCATGCGATTATTGCAAGGTGCATCCACCTCAACACCATGCACATGATTTGCTTGCTATTAACTTGGCATCAATATCTATTTAGATATTGCAAAGAAAGCAAACTATATTGGAAAGTAAGCAAATTCATATAAGTATATTAAACATCTAATTTTTACTTTGTCAGATGTCTAGACTCCTGACTTTCCTGGCCTACACAGGAACTCTATTTAGAATTTAGATACTTTTTTTCTTTCTATAGGGAAATAGACTCTCTCTTCCTGCTGCTCATGGTATTGTGGAAGAACTGACTGGCAATATCTTATTAAACTCATGTATCTGGAAATGCTTAATTTATATCCTTATTCCTGAGGACAGTGCCTTGCTTACACTAGACACTGAACAAATGTTTGTTTGTAAATGATTGGTTCTTGTGCCAACTGTTGAGATATTTGGAAGAATAAGTTTGGATTGTGCAAGTAAAGCACCTTGTACAGTGTCTGGCATATAGTAGCCACTCCGTTTTTTTTTTTTTTTTAATTTTTTAAATGTTTTATTTATTTTTGAGAGAGAGAGATAGAAGCAGCATGAGCAGGGCAGGGTCAGAGAGAGAGGGAGACACAGAATCTGAAGACAGGCTCCAGGCTCTGAGCTGTCAGCACAGAGCCTGATGCGGGGCTTGAACCGACAAACCATGAGACCATGACCTGAGCCAAAGTCGGAGGCTTAACCGACTGAGCCACCCAGAGGCCCCAGTAGCCACTCAGTTTTATCAATTTCTGTCATTATTTTGTTTGAAGGAAGTAGGCAGAGTGTGCAATGGGAATATACTGAGAGTTAGAGAAGTTAGAGAAGCTATCTCAGAGGGAGGATATTTCCCTTCCTGACCAAGCGCCACCATCATTTTGTTGGATAGAAGAGAGGCCAGTTGTCTTTTCTGAACCAGTGACCTCACCAGGGACCATTTGCATTCCCTCCAGCTCCATGGACATCAAAGCTGATAGTGTATACAGTAGTGCCTCATCTGCACAACGGGGCAAAAATATCTCTTCTCCAGAGTTATTGTGAAAATGAAATAAAATAATCATAAGAGAAATGCTGACCACATAGTACATATCCAACAAATGGTAGCCCATTCCCTATACCATGGGCCACAACGCTGCACCTAATCAAGCTTTGGCTGACTATTCTTCTTATTATTATTACCAACACATCTAGCCTCTTAGTACCAGAAAACCTGGTTATGTGTTTATTCATTCATTCATCCATGTGATAAATACATATTAAATATTATTATGCATAAGGCACTGTGCTAGGCCTCTGCGGATATAGGGGTGATGAAACAGACATGGTGCATGATCTTATAGAGCTGACATTTTAGTAATGGGTTCAGAGTATAGGCAACTGATTGTAAAATAAATTACTTTTTCCATTAATTTGTTCCATAATTATCCTAGTTATTAATCTAGTTAATTATTCTAGTTACTGTGGTTAGTTCTACAAAAGCATATAAAGGGTTCCGTGAAAATTAATTTTGACTTGGAGTTTGAAAGATGGGGGTGGGGAACTGGGTGGCTCAGGTGGTTTAACCATCGACTTTGGCTCAGGTCATGATCTCATGGTTTGTGAGCTTGAGCCCTGTCTTCGGCTCTCTTCTGTCACTGCAGATCCCAATTCAGATCCTCTCTCTCTCTCTCTCTCTGCCCTTCCTCCTCTCTCTCTCTCTGTCTGTCTCTGTCTCTCTCTCTGTCTCTTTTTCTCTTTCTCTCAAAAATAAATAAACATTAAAATAAAAAGAAAGATGGGTAGGAACTGACTGGCTGATGAGGCAAGCATTGTGTTTCAAGCACAAGAAAAGCATGGGTGAAGACCCTAATGCATGGGTCACACAGAGTTGAGAAGGCTCGTGGCTCCAGGGGACAGAGAGTGAGGGGTGAGTGTTACAGGATGGTGGCCATGTCCTGCACTGTACCACAGGTCACATTAACTATTTCCACAGAGAAACCAGCAAAAATTATTATAATTTTTAAAACCAAGAGTAACACAGACATGTGCCAAACTGGAATGTGCTATTCATATATAATCACAACTGGACCTCAAGAAGACAGGATCTTTTGAAAGAGGCCTTTATGTCTTCAGAGCAGATGGGAGATTAGGGTATCCAGGCTAGGGCTGGAACCTATGGAGACCTCCTTCCTTCATTTGACAATGAAGTCAAAAGGGCTCATAGTTCCTGGGACGTCAGGGAACTCTATGGGTAAGAAAATAGATGGGAGGGAGAAAGCAGAGACAGAGCGAGGAGATGATGAAGAGGCTACAATGTAAATTGGGTGTGAGGATGGGGTGGCCTAATGGGGTTTGAAGATCATGTGTAATATATAAATAGGCACAGAATATCAAATCTTTTACAGAAACCTCAACATTTGCACAAGGTCCATTGTACTCATTCCTCTCTCTGTCTCTCTCTCTCTCTCTCTCTCTCTCTCTCTCTGTGTGTGTGTGTGTGTGTGTGAGTTGGGAGGGTTATAGTTTGGTTTGTTTGCTTTGTTTTGTAGAAATCTAGGTATCTTAGTTTCCTATTTCTGCTCTACCAAATTTAGGACAAACTTAGTGGCTTAAAACAGCATCAATTTATTATCTTACAGTTTCAGGGTTCAGATATCCAAAATGGGTTTCACTGGGAACAAAATCAAGGTGTTGGTAGGATTGTGCTCCCTCTGGAGGCTCTGGGAGGGAATGCATTCCCTTGCCTTTTTAAGCTTCTAGAATTGCATTCCTTGATGTCTGGTCCCTATCTCCACCTTCAAAGCACGGGTGTTGCATCTCCAAAAATCTCTTTCCTCTCTGACCTCCTGCTTTGCTCTTATAAAGACCCTATAATTATATCTGGCCTACCTGGGTAATCCAGGCTAATCTCCTCACCTCAACATCCTTTAATGAATTATGTTTGTAAAGTTCCTTTTGCCATGGAAGGTAAAATATTTGCAGATTCTGGGATCAGGAACAGGATATCTTTGGGAGGGTTATTGTGTAGCTGACCACAGTAAGTATCCTGCTCGTTGAAAGGTGGGAAAGGAAATTGCTTTGATTTTGAAAAGCGAGGTCTGGAACATCTGGGTAAGAAGGGGGTAATACAGACCAAGGAGTAAATTTAAATGAGCTATTCTTTCATTATTTTTAATATTCAACAACACTTATTAATATTTGGACATTTTTAGTGAAGCATGAGGGCAATATGTCATGTTAACATTTCATTCATTGACATGTGTTCCCTGAGCATTCATTAACTTCCAGGCACCGCGGGATTCTAGAGGGCTCAACCAAGCTTGAGATAAAGCATTTACCTGTCAGGAACTTCAATGTTGTAGGACAGGAAGAGAAAAAAGTAGTAACTTCACTACAACCTGGTAAATGCAAGGAGAGCATTAAGGCAAAACACAGGTGCAACACTCAACTGCTTGATCAAAGGGGCCTGGAAAATGCATCTCAAATACATCAGTCAGGGTTCAATTAGAGAGGCATCACAAGGGATGTGACTGCAAGCAACTGCAGGTGAACTAGTCTCTGCAAGACTGTCGTCTTCACATTGATGCTGAACTTGAAGTCTGTAGGGCATGCAGTTGGGTAGGGATTGGGTAGGGAAGGGGGTGTAGTGTAGGAGAGCAAGGACAGGGTAAGACCCACAGTCTTGGAATTGTGGTAGTCTCCTCTGGCTTCTACCATCCATGGGTATCCCACAGGAGAAGTTGGTGTCCTTTGTCAACGGAGTTAAACCTACTGGCTCAGAAGGCAGAGACGCTGAAGAAGGACCCCAGGGCAGATGCAGTGGCTGCTGCCCCCGACCCATGTGGTGGGCCACACAGCAATGAAGATGCTGCAAGATGACATATTACAAAGACGTAACACCTGAATCGTCGGGGCTACAGGTAGTTTCCTGTGGCTGAAAGGACTGATGCCAGAGAGGGAGCACAGGGTGGGAGGGAGGTACCATGAGGGGAGTGAAAGATGAACCAAGCCACAGGTCAAGCAATATCATTGAGGACTTTCTAATGGGTCAGGATAGCAGGGGGCTGGGTCCTGAGGGCAGCAGGTCACCACTAACTATGATGGGTTATCCTATTTTCATTTCAAAAAGCTTAAAGTGATTAGCCTAGCATCATCTTCCCATCGGGCCTCAGTTCTCCTCATTCCTTCCCTGCTCACCTTGTTCATGACAAAGCCTCTAGCTTCCCCCCAACACTCCTCTTGCCTCAGTGTCTCAAACCTGGAATACATTTCCCTTTTCCCCTTCTTCCTGTCAAGTATGTTCCGCTCTTTCCATTTTGAGTACTGCTTGGGCAGTGCTCCAGAAGGATGGAAACAGCCATACTGTGTGTCACTAGACTGTGACCCTCCTGAGAACAGGAACCTTGTTTATATCATCCAAATGTCCCCACCGTCTAGCATAGTGCCTGGTACTTGGAAGGTATTCAATAGATGCGCATCAATTGAATCAAAGTCCAGAGCTTCTCATTAAAACACTTTGCTTATATGATATTTCAATTTTATTAGTGAGTTTGATGAGGTAAACCCTCTGCTCATTGTCAAACATAAAGAAGTAATGGACTTCTCTATTTGAATAGAGAGTTAAGTGACAGGAAAGGCTTCTAGCATCCTTCAGAAAAGCACATACATATAGATTCAAGTTATCAGGAAGGAAGGAAAATCATTCCTCTTCTGGGAAGTTCTTCAAGCCAGAGGTGGACCTCTCATTCTTTACAACAACGTAATCGTAATTCTCATCGATAAGGCCTTCCTTGTAGTCTTTGGTTTCCTTCATCTTCACAGGACTGCTGGCCAGGTTGTTGGGCCAGTTATAATAATAAAGAGGCTTCAATTTTTTTACATAGATAAAGTGAAATAATCTTCGGAAGGTTTGTTTAACATTTGAGGAGGTCAGTCTATGGTCTATTTCCTTAAAAATGTTGTGGGTTATTTCTGCCAACTCCCTGATCATGGGGTCTTCATCCCGAACCACTCTATCAATAGCTGTTAAGAGCAGAAGAACCTTTAGTTCAAGACATCTCTTTCATGTTCGAGAAGCTCTAACCCTGAAGGGTACCACCACCTCTCACAGAATTTCTCTTTCTCTCCCTTCTACCTCCAATTTTCCCTATTTTGGCTAGAAGCATCCAAAAGGTTTTGTCTGCTATCCCCACCAGACCTCATTAAAGGAAAAATAGGAATTGCCACTAAACATTGACTGAGTACCTGTCATGTGCTAAACATTCTGCTACATAGCATAAACACATATGCATAAAGAGGCTCAATAGTACTTATAATAATGAGAAAAGTTGGAATCTGTCTAAATGTTCATCAACAGAGTACCGTGTAAAAATTAGCCATATCATCAAATGAAATAGCACACACGTATAAACACGATGATGTAAACCCCTGTTTCTTGGCATGAATATATGAGGAAGTGAGAAAGTTATACCAGTTATGATCATTCAAAAAATAAATATATAATAGCATATTTCTTTAAAAATATGTGAGAACACACACACACACACACACACACACACACACACACACACACACACAAGAGGAAGGGAGGGAAGCTGCGACCCTATTTTCTATCCCATCTGTTTGTAAATCTGCTCCTGATGAGGAAATAGAGGCTAAGAGAGAGATGCCAAAGTTCAGATGTTTTGAGAGCAAAACTATTCTTTAATTCTCTCTGGTACAAGTGGAGAAGGGGGAGGGAAGGGAGGAAAAGGAAGCAGAAAAGGGAAAGGAAGAAAAGAAAAGGAAAAGAAAAGATGACCTTTAACCTAGTCTTTCCATTGACTCCTCCCTACCACCTTCCTCCCATCCCTGGCACCATTATAGAACACATATGTGAATTGAGTCACAAATAGTGAATTCATATAGACTTATACATAACTTATACATACAGGTCTCGTTATAACTTCAATACTTACCCTCAAGCATGACTTCAATTTCATCTCTGAGTAGTAAATGGCCACCCAATTTTGCCAAGTACCCTACGCACAAAGTAATATTAGAATAATCCCAACATTATGAAAATGCATCCTCAAGGATAGGTTTGGTGCTATCCTCAAAGCAAAGCATCTCTTAGATCATCCTTGGAACATCTTTTACTGCTTTCAGATAATTATTATTTAATGAAACTCTTTATGGAGCTATATTTATGTGTATCATTGTGCACAAATCATAATTACACAGCTCAGTGCATGATTACTTCACTGTGAACACCTCTAGCTAACACTTAGGTCATTACATAGAACAATTGCTACCATTCCAGAAGTCTCTGTCATGCCCTTCCCAATCTCCTCCCTCACCCTTTAGAATATTCTTTTGCCCAACTTGTTGAACATTATTGTGAGATTCATCCACCTTCTTATAATGTAGCAATAGTTCATTCATTTCCACTGTTACATATCAGGAGTTAGCAAATAAAGTTTTCTTGGAACAAAGCCAAGCCCATTGACTCATATGTTTATGTATTATCCACTGCTACTTTTATCCATCCTACTTTTACAGCAGAGCCTAATAATGTTGACAGAGACCAGACAGTACACATAGCTTAAAATACTTACTATCTGGTCTCTTACAGAAAGAGTTTGCTGAACACTATTATATGATATTCCACCTTACGAATGTAGGATTTAAAAAATCCAGGGGCACCTGGGTGGCTCAGTTGGTTAAGCATCCGACTTCAGATCGTGCCATGATCTTGCGGTTCGTGGGTTCAAGCCCCGCGTCGGGCTCAGTGCTGACAGGCAGTTCAGAGCCTGGAGTCTGTTTCAGGTTCTGTGTCTCCCTCTCTCTCTGACCCTCCCTTGCTCATGCTGTCTCTCAGAAATAAATAAAGCATTGAAAATTCTTTTAAATAAAAAATCCATTCTGCTGCTGATGAAGAATTTGAGGCTATTATGAATAATGATGTTATCATGGGCATTCTTGTACATGAGTTTTGGTTTGCACTTGTATACATTAATGTTCAGTATGTAGCTAGCAGAGGACTTATTGGCTAATGGATATGCTTATCTTCACCTTTAATCATTACTGCTAAACAGTTTCCACAGTGGTTGTATCAATTTTCACTCCCACCAGTAACTATGAACATTTCCATTGCGTTATGTCCTACCACTTGACATTGTCAAATCTTTTTTCCTATCAGTTCTTCTCATGGATTTGGTGGTAGCATTACACTGATTTTCTTTGCTGTTTTGGTCAGGATTAATAAGAATTGTATCTAGTGTTTATTGGTCACTTTTATATTTCTTTTGTAAAATGCCTGTTCTAGTAAGTCATTTGCCTGTTTTTATATTGAGTTGTCTTTTACTTATATATTTGTAGGCATTTTTATTCTGGGTACTAATCTTTTTAAATGTTACATGCCTTACAGATGTGTTTTACTTTGGGGCCAGACTTTTCCATTTGTTTTTTTTTTTTTTTTAAATAAACTGTAGTCTTTCATTTTAATGTAGTCCAATTCACCATCTTTTTATTTTGGTTACTGGATTTTGGGGTCCTCATAAGAAATCTTTGCTGCCTCAAGTTCTTTCTGATATCCAACTATTCAGCGTTTACTTCTAGAGTTTGATTGTGTTACCTCTTGCACTTTTGGATTATAGATCCAACTGTAATTGTATTGCATAAAGTAGGAGCCAAGATATTTTTTTTTAATATCCCTGTGTAATTAACCCAGAACCATTAAAAGCAAAAACTGTCCTTTCCCTATTGCTGTGCAGGGTCACTTATATCATAAATTGTATGGGGGATAGTGTTTTGACTTCATTTGATTTCTGTGCCACGGCAATATCATCTTAATTATTACTGTGTCCTGATATCTATCCAGTAGTATACGTTTTCAACATTGTGGTTCTTCCTTAAACTATCTTGGCTATTCTCAAACCGTTAAATTTCATGTAAAATTTAGAATCAGCTTGTCTCATTTCACACACACGAAAAGCCCCTCATGAGATTCTGTTTGGGATTGCACCGAATGTACAGATCAATTTGGGGAGAGCTGATGATACCATACTATCTGATCCTTTAGTCCATGAACTATATATATCTAAGTTTTTAAAAATTGTCTCAGTGCTTTCTGGTTTTCTGTGTGTCTGTCTTGTACATATTTTTGTAGTTTTATTCTGAGTTACTTGAGGATTTTTGGTGCTATTGTATTAGGCATTTTCAAAAATTTGATTTCCTGATTGTTTATTGTTAGTATGTAGAAATCGAATTGATCTTTGTATTTTGATGCTGTATCTAGAAAACTTGCTAAATGTATATATTAATTCAAAGTTTTCTGAATTCCTTCCAGTGCTCTAAATATTTTAAAATATAATTATTTATCTACATTTTAAAAGTTTTACTTTCCTTTGTACAAACCTAGATTTTAAATTTCTTGATATTATCTTATTTCAGTTTTGGAAAATTCTTAGCCTTCATCCCTTCTTTTTTTAAAAAAAATTGGGGGGGGTGACCTGCGTGTCTCAGCCAGTTAAGTGTCTGACTTCGGCTCAGGTCATGATCTCATGGTTAATGGGTTCGAGCCCTGTATCAGACTCTGTGCTGACAGCCCAGTGTCTGCAGCCTGCTACAGATTCTGTTGCTGGCTCTCTCTGCCACTTGTGCTCCATCTCTAAGATAAATAAACATTAAAAACAAAACAGGGATAGAGGCAAGATGGCGGAGAAGTAGAGAGCTCTGTACATTTCACTCACCCGCATCTCTCAAACAGAGAAGGCCTGAAGCCACAGTACACTGAACTGCAGAAGTCTGGGAGGCAAAAGAGACAGAGTCCACTAAGAAGACAGCCTCATAGGTGTGTAATAGTGAACTGGGAAAGATAAAAATGGGCTGGGACCGGAGACACGGAGAGGAGGGAGCCCCCTTCATGGAGAGAGGCAGAGAGAAGAAGGAAGAGAAAGAGGGGCTGAAACTGCTCATAGAACTATCCCTGGAGAAGAGAAAACCTTAGCCTGGGGCGGAGAGGTATCCTAACATCCCAACCCTAACCACAGGGCATTCAGAGAATGATCCTATTTCTAGCTGTGGTGCTGTTTTTGGTCTGGGTGCCCTAGTCCCAGGTGGCACCAGGAGAAACTGTTCTGCTGCTCTCCTGGCTTGATCCCTGGCTGGGAAGCGACCAGGCCTGCAGGATTACATTTTGGGCGTATCAGTAAAGCGCAAGGATTAAGATCTGGAAATGAGGTGGGGCTTGGGACATAGAATATGGCCCACCTTGGCTACGCCCGAGGCACGGGAAGATTGGACCCAAAAGAGTAATTTGCAATGCTTGATTTGAGAAGGGACTGGGGCACCGCCATTGTTTCCCCCAACAGCCACCTAGGCGGGGCCTCAGGGAGCTGCCCGTGGGACCCCAGTGGAGGCAAGACCTGTCTATATCATACCATGCCCATCTGCTCTGGAGAGCTGCTTTTTTTTTTTTTTTTTTTTTTTTTTTTTTACCACAGCCTGGGGCAAGACCAACATGGATGCACTGCCATGTTTAATTCTAGATCAATTCTTTCTATTCAGATATATTTTCCCTTGTCTCATTCGTATCCCTCCCCTCTGCTGGACTGGGCACTCTTGTCATCAGTTTGCTTAAATAGTCACATTTAATCCATTCTCTACATGTGTATTCTACACCTCCGTCGTTATCGTCCTATCTCTCTCTCTCTCTCTGGAGTAATCAGACTATATAGTTTCTTTGGGTAACATTATCTTTGTTTCTTCCCCTCAACTCCTACCATATTCTCCTCATTCTCTCTCTGAATTAAGCCTCTGAGTCTATCTGCCTGGTCATTGTCCAATTTCACTTTCTCCCCGCCCTGTCATTTCTCTCTTTGCATATGCTCTTCCATCAGCATTGCCTCCATCCTGCTCTTTATTTGTAGCTGGGATTTCTGGTTTTATGTTTTTAGACTGTCCTTTGTCTTTTTTTTCTTTTTCTTTTTTGCTTTCGGTTTGCTTGTTTGTTGGATTTGTCAGTGCATTTGCATGCCTTTGTTCTCTGCGTGTTTGTCTGTCTGTTTTCTTCTCCAGGGCTACCTCAAGAAACAAGCCAAAGTACACATAGTGGAGAGTCCCAAATACCACTATGAGTAGTGAAATAAAATAACGAAAGTCTCAACAAGAGAGACCAAGAGACACCATTAAAAGAACACTTCTGGGGCGTCTGGGTGGCTCGGTCGGTAAGTGTCCGACTTTGGCTCAGGTTGTGATCTTGTGGTTCGTGGGTTCGAGCCCTGCATCAAGTTCAGTGCTGACAGCCAGCTCAGAGCCTGGAACCTGTTTCAGATTCTGTGTCTCCCTCTCTCTCTGGTGCTCCCCTTTCACGCTGTCCCTCTCTCTCTCAGAAATAAATAAAACATTTAAAAAATTTTAAAAAAGAACACTTTCTGAACAGACAGGCGCTGGACAATCAATGAGCCTTCTTTAATATAGCAATACTTGCAGGTGCAGAGTGCATAACAAGCTTTTAAAACTGACAAGAGACAGAAAGTTAGCCAAAATGACGAAATGGAAGAACTCCCCTCCAAAGAAATTCCAGGAAGAAGTGACAGCTAAAGAACTGCTCAAAACAGATATAAGCAACATAACTGAACAAGAATTTAGAACAATAGTCATAAAATAAATTGCCAGCTTTGAAGAAGGCATGGAAGACATCAGAGAAGATATTGCTTCAAATACTATGGAGCTTAAAAACATCTGTGATGAATTAAATGTTATAAATGAGGTACATAATAAAATAGAGGTGCACAAATGCACAGATTGAAGAGGCAGAGAGGAGAATAGGTAGGTTGGAAGACGCAATAATAGAAAAAGAGAGATAAATTGATCCAGGAGCACAAAAGGAGACTTCAAGAACTGGGTGATACAGTCAAACAGAACAATATCCATATCACAGGAATTCCAGAAGAGGAAGAGAGAGAGAAAGGCGCTGAAGGGGTACTTGAACAAGTTATAGCAGAGAACTTCTCCAATCTGGAGAAGGAAATAGACA